TTGCCTATCTGATCTGAACAAAAAAACCGAAGCTTTTTGCCTTTGTCTCTCGCTTTAGTGTTTCTGGGTTTTGTTGTGCGACTTTTAGGGTATTGAAATTCAGGGTCTTTTTGCTTTAAACCCAGATATTGAAACTTACAACCACAGAGGAACTGCGAGGGTTTGAAATGGCTCCCAGAGGAAGAAAAAAGGTAAATGCTTTTCACTGTTACATAGGTTTTCTCAAATTCAGAGATTGTTACTCCATTTTTCATGTTTGCCTTTCGTGTTTCCTTGTAATCTTAGGGTTCTTCAAGGTCAAGTTTGTATGTAGCAGTAGTAGTAGGAGGCATGATCGTCCTGTTGTGGTTCTTGACAAAGATGATGTATATGGTGTTTTTTAAATTGTTCAGTTGAATAACAAATCAGAGAACTTTAGTGTTGCAATCACTCTTCTTAGTTAAGGTGAAAAGGCTGAGTCTTTTTCAGTTTTCTTCTTTACTTCATACAACTCTGGTTTTAGATGTAGAAGCTATTTGCTAGAGTCATGTTTATGCTACATTGATTCTCTCTAATCCTATTAGATTCATCTACATTTAAAGTCGAAAGTTGCTCTTTGCCTTGTTATAAGTATGTCAAAATGCTTGCTTCCTTTTGTTCTTGGATTTCTTGTTGGTTGTTTCTTTTATACTTGGGATTGTACAGATGTTTCTTTTACATGGTCTTGAGTATTTTGAAGTGATTCGATTGACTCTCAGTGAGTATTAAAAGCAGAATCATTACGATGGGTGTTCTTTTCCTTCTGTGACTTCTCCCTTTTGTGGCTTTTAAATGGTTTTTCTCTTGCCCGTTTCGCAGAAAGGACTGATGCGAGATGATGCAGCTCGAGACGCTATGATTGAATTTGGGTTTGAGATTCGTCTTATCAATGAGACTATCAAAGAATTGCTAGAGGTGTGTTCTTCAGTTTCGGGGTCTCCACTTTCCCTTCTTTGGAAACACTATTTCCTTGAAAATGATGCTAATCTTTACTTTGAATGGATTTCAGCTGTATAATGAGAACGCAAAGTCAAACCCATGGAAACTGATCGAAGAAGGTGGTTACGCTGTGCTGCTTGAGAGATTACTTGAAAAGCAAGCGGAACAAGAAAAGCAATTGGCCTTACACAACAAAGAATTGGCTGTG